TACTAAAACTTATTTAAAATTTTTAATGTATTTACAAACACTCAATATGGAAAGTAGAATAGAGCAGATGAGATCCACTGTGATTTGTGATTTGTGAAAGTGATTTGCCCGTATGTATATAAACGATATAAAATTTGTGTCACAAAACCTTAATAATATACATAAGTATGATCTACTACAAAATAATTGAGAGCATTCAAATGTCTATTTGAAGAGAAAATACATTCGAACTAGTTTCAAATTCAAACTCGTCCCAAACACGAACTCGTCTTTACATAATCAAATTTTATGCACGGCATCGTTTTTCATAATTTCATTAAATGGAAGCACTTCACAGGATTCGAACTCGTTCTTTCCCAACTCACACACATATAAATACATGCATACATATATAGGTATATGCATAAGGCAATCAGAGATTGAGCTCACGTGTGTTCCGTTCATATGTGTGCATAAATTCAAATCAATTCCAGCTGCCAATTTAGTAATTCAATACGGAATTCGCACATTCAAATGTCTCTGTGCAGCAGTGTTTAGCCAGTTTAGCCTATTTCAAGCTAGATCTAGCCTTTTGATAATAAGTCCATTGAACGTGATGGGCTGGAATAGCAAGAATAAGAGGGAAATTATGCAGAAGTCTTAGATCATAAAAGAGCTATACTACTATAGAGCAAAAGCAACAGCTGTCTATGCCATATAATAATTATAAATATTATAATAAAAGTGTAGCTAAAAATACTAAACAAATAAGGCAGCGTAATGAGGGATTTGGATTTCACAAATTATGTTTGATTGCCTATATATGTATATCTGTTCGTATACCTGTCTGTCTGTCTCTCTGTCTGTCTCTCTATCTGTCTGAAGAACTAAGGCAGATCATTTAATCTGTCTATGTGTATGCTGCAATATTCCTTTGGTGTTTGAGTAAGACGAAGTTGGAATGCTTAGAGCAGCAGAGAGTGTTCCTTCCCATTGGTCCATTAAAGCTCGACTGCAACGACCCCTCTCTGACGWCAGGCCCAACATTTGAGCGCACCTTAGGGTTTGAGTGAAAGTCGCCCTATATAAAGGGCAGCAGCTGCAGCATTTCTTCAGTCGCCCAAGTCTGGTGGGCCTGGGTCAGTCGTGTAGTGTAGTAAAGTGAAGTGATGTGAAGTATGTGCACGACCTTAGCGGACTTAAAGACTTTGTGGAAGTACTTAGAGGATATATTTAAGGGAAATACTTGGAGGAAATACTTGGAGGAAATACTTGGAGGAAATACTTGGAGGAAATACTTAGAGGAAATACTTGGAGGAAATACTTGGAGGAAATACTTAGAGGAAATACTTAGAGGAAATACTTATAGGAAATACTAAGAGGAAATACTAAGAGGAAATACTAAGAGGAAATACTTAAGGGAAATACTTGGAGGAAATACCTAGAGGAAATAGTTATAGGAAATACTTTTAAAAATACTTGGGAGAAATACTGAGTGGCAATACTCAGAGGCAATTTTCGGGGAAAATACTTAGGGGAAATACTTGGGGGAAAATACTTGGGAAATTTTTAAGTTTGTTTTTGTATTTTATTATTAATATGAGCAAAACAAAGGTGACTGGAAGTAATTTATCAAATATATTTGCTACTTGTATGTTTTGCTCCCTTTTTCTTCAATACCATTGCTCTAGCATTTTTTTCTACATCAGCCTCTTTTAGCCTATTTTTGTCAACAATCGAGCTTATTTCGCGCATGACCAAACGTCTGATATCACCTGTGTTACTTAACGGACTGATATAGTGAATACCATTATATCATTTTAAATATATGTATGTACATACTTACATACTTCCCTTAGACATATATATGACAAAAGGAAATTGTCCATATACATGTACATACATACATACATATAAGCATCTCTGATTCAAGTATAATATTTAGTTCTTTAGACTCTAGCGGATCATCTGGAAGGTTGGCTTGAATTTTGAATACTTATGCATATATTGTCATTGAATTAAACAAACTTACTTTCATATGATGTAAACGTATTTCCATATGATGTCGACTATGAACTGTGCTGGTTCCGGTACAAAGCTCATCCCAAAATGTGCTACAGTTGAACCAGATCGAAATTGAGCAGCTGCAAAAGAAACCAGTGGAACTAATAGTGGAACTAATAGACAATGGCAATTGGTCATATCATTTCTAGAGCCATGCGTGTAGGTACTTGGAAAACTTGGCTTATAATTGAAAGGTACTTCAGCAAACAACAACAACAGCAGCAGCAGTTGCAACAACACTAACAACAACAACAACAGAGACAGTTAGACAGACTGAGCTCTCGGAGACAAGTAACAAATTAATTTCACTTTCTTTGCTGCATTTGTTGCTGTTGTTGCCTCAGTTGCCGGAGTTGCCTCTGTTGCTTGTGGCACGTTGTCTTTTTCATCACACAAAATTGGCCTGGCTGCCTGCCATTGTTAGAGCGCGGGGGGCGCAGCACCAGCAGCAACAGCAACGAGGCTGCTCAGGTTTATTGACTGCGCGCATGCGCCAACAACAGCGTTGCCTGTGCAATTACAAACTGTTGTTGCTGCTTGCTGCTGCTGTTGCTGCTTGCTGCTCTGTTGCGCCTCAATGGGTCGCACTTGGCCCAGGGGGCTGGGCCTGCCTCCCTCTCCCCTGCCAAGTGGCAGCGAAACATGAAAATTGCCCCAGCATTGCCACAATGGGCTAACGAAGGAGCCGTCGCCGAACTGGGCGCTGCCGCCAGGTTTGACACTGACACTGACGCTGACGCTGACTTAGTGGCAGCTGCATTCCATGCACTTGTGGCACACATCTTTTCACCCAGCAATTAAAGTGCTGGCATATTTCAAGCCACGCACTGCCAGAGCTGCGAGCTGCAGCCAAAGCATCCACAAAGGTTTCCATTTCATTGTGGCGACAGTCGTAAGCCAAGCCAAGATCAATCACAGACTTCCTACTCTGACTATTTCCCTCTAAAAGATCCCTCATTGCACATATTCATCAGTCAATGAGTTGAACAAGCAATATCTTATATACATATATATGTATGTATGTACATATATATTTAGTAACTCATCCTCTCTCTTTACAATATCAGCTATTCATCGTAGCTTAGGTGGCCATCAATCAGTTATATATTTAGATTTTTAGATTGTCAGATATATATTTACACTCTCTCTCCATCTCCCTCTCTCTCTTTTATTAATCAGCTGCAACTGTTTTATATAAATAAATAATATAAATTAGGCATCCTCGACAGTTTCTCTGCGTAAGATCAGATATTTATTTCAGCACTACCTAAGATTATCAACGAATCAGTCAGTCAATCATTTTGTGCATAAAGCCGAACTATATCATACAGTACTTACATATGTATATACATTCATAGTTCTATTTACATTTAAGGCCTTTGCTACATCCTCTCTTTCTCTCTCTCTCTCTCACCTTATCTCTCTTGTTCTCTCCAGTATCTTAATTATATCAGTCAATAAATTTAGCATCTACTAAAACTATCTTATAATTTGCTAAAAGCTATTATGTTGTTTATATTATTTGCTATTTAAATTATATTATTCGCTATTTTATTTAACAACTTTACATCTAGACTTTCTGAAGTATCAGATATTGAGTTCAGCTGCTTAAGCTGAGCGCCAATCAATCAATCAATCAATTCGTTCATGTAGCAAAACAAACTTATTTTTATTCACATTCATGATTATACATATTTATATTTATGTATTTTTGTATTCATAGCCTTCCTTACATACGTAAGTATGTCTCCTTCTCTTCCTCTCTCCCTCCGTCTTCTTCGCTCTCTATCGTTGAGCATTAACGAGTTTAGCAAATCGAGTAAACTCCAAGTACTTGAGTATTTATACCTATTTTTTTTGTTTTTTTTTTTTGTTTTTTTTGTTTTTTCTTTGTTTTTTTGTTTTTTGTTTGTTTTTTTTTGTTTGTTTTGTTTTGTTTTAGCATTCACAGCAGTCTGTCGATAAGATCATTTATGTTAGACATTACAATTCGAATTAGAGATATGCACAAGTTCTTCACAATTAGTTAGGTCATACGATCGCCGCATGTTAATACTGATTCACATTTCCATCAATATTTGATATTGTACATTGCAAATAGTAGCGTGAGTGTGAAGAGACTTGCCTGTATAACTAAATCTATTTTGCACGTATTTTGCACAATTTCAAGGGTTTACATTCAGGTCTATGGTATAATCATGTAACATGTATACATATATACATAAATGATTGAAATGAAATATCTTAGGACATACAAATACATTCGGAATGTCAACATGCACATCTATATCATGCGTACATACTTTGATATAGACTTCATTTGATGAATCGATTCACGTGGGTGTTGACAATTCAAGATGGGATTTACAGTGAGTGGCTGTAGTTCGAGTCAAGGCTGTTCAAGACATTATTGCGTTGGTGTTGTGGTTGAGTGGATCTGACTAGTCCTTTGATTTCACAGAATTGCAATTGGTACACTAAATACTACAAAAAAATATCGAAAATGCAGTCATGGCAACAAAAGTCACCATGTCACAGTTGTTTGGCATTCTCCATACTTGGATTGAAATGGAAAGTTTTAGTCAAATTTCAACTAAAAACATAAATAAGCTGCAAGGCCATTTGACCTTGGCTAAGTTAAAAACTGTCGTCTTTTTAGTAAAATATAATGTCGGTGGCCGATAGGCCCGACATGTCGGTGTCGAGGGCCAGCAGTCTCTGGACATAGTCGACGGATGGACAGCGTGAGGGCACCATGGTGCGGGAGGCGACCATTTCATCAAACTCCCGGGCAATGTGGGAGCGCAGCCTGATCAGGTTGGAGCCCAGCTCAGTGGAGAGGCGAATGCTGAGGTTGGAGTCCAGGCGCAGGATGCTTTGCTCCACTTTATTGTAGGTCTCGTCCTCGTGGAACAGCAGCTCCGGCACATATTGCTCCAGTTTGACTGTCTTGCCGCATTGCAGCGCCACCATCAGGGTGCTGATCAGCGTGGCATGCTCAATGTGCGAGACGAGGCCGGCCGAGCGGGTCTTCTCCACGTAGACGAGCCATTCGCTCATGTTGCTCTTGGCGCGCTTCGCGAAACATAGCGGCAAGATAGAGTTGCGAGAGAGCTGGACACGCGGATCGCTCTCGTCGACCAGACGGGAGTGACGCGGATGATCGACGTAGACGATGCGCGGATAAAGGCCAGCTGCCAGAGCAAGCCGGACCATGTTTAAGTTGTTGTCATACCTGTAGGCCATACGCATGTCTACGAACTTGATTAAGCGCGTCAGAGTGAGGCGCAGGGTGTGCACAGCTGAGACGAAATTATCCATGGATTTGCGGCAGAGGCAGTTCCTCTCGCAGAATCGGTCCATTTCGCGGCTGCCCCTGGTGTCAGCGGACATGTAGGCATGATATAGTTGAAGGACCCCAATCGAATCGCTGGACGTCTCAATGCTAAAGAAGTCGCGCGACTTGCGCTGCTCGGTGCGTCCGGAGCGATCGCTGGGCAGTACAAACGGATCTCGCACCGAGTAGTAGGCGGTAATGATGCTCAGGCTGCCCACGCATTGGTAGTAGATGCCATAGATCATGCACTTCGCCAGCTGCACATCCAGCGGCAGCTGGGCTATGATATGGCCCAGCTGGGTGACGCTTTCGTCCTCATCGCGCAGCACGCCCAAGAGCTTTAGCATGGCGCACGACTGGGCAATGGCGGCGGGCTGCGGACGATCCAGAGCCTGGGCCAGGAACTGTTCGATGGGCTTGTTCGGGGCTGCAATCTTGGCCAAGAGACAGATCTCGTCGAGAGTATGGCGCAGAATCTCCGGCACGGTGAAGCAATTGAAGGACTCGAACTGAGCGTTGCTGTACAGGCGATAGCAAATGCCATCCTTACGCCTGCCGGCACGTCCGGTGCGCTGCTGTGCGTCCGCCTTGGATATCCAGGTGCAGGCCAGATGTGAGGCGCTAGTCGATGGGTCGTAGGTCTTCATCTTGACGCGACCCGTATCGATCACATACAGCAAATCGGGTATGGTGATCGAGGTCTGGCCAATGTTGGTGCTGAGCACCACCTTGAGCTGGACGTTTGGATATTCACGAAAGACATCCCTCTGCCTCTGGCTGTCGACCTGGCTGTGCAGTAGCAGGACTTTGATCAAGTCCGTGGGCAGAGCCGTTTGCAGCTGATCCATCAATTTGGTCATGTCCTGGTAGCCAGGCAAGTAGACAATAACGGCGCCCTTCATGCCCATGAGCAGCAGCACCTGCAACAGCGACACAATCAACGAGTTGTCAATATCCATCTCGTTGATGTTGTGAGCCAGGGAATAGGCGCGCAACAGCTGCTCGCCCTCAAGATTCTTGTGATTGCCCAGCAGACTCGACATCTGCGGAGTCAAGTAGCCAGTTATGTGCAGTATATCCTCCAGCGAATAGACGCGCACATTGAAGCTACGACCCTCCACATTGAGGACGGGTGCATCATCAAAGTATTTGGACAAGGCCAACAGATCCATGGTGGCCGACATGAGTATCACCTTGAGCGATTTGTTACGCTCGAGCTCTAACTTAATGGCTAGTAGTAGGAAGTCTGTGTCCAGATCGCGGTCGTGGACCTCATCAATAACCAGATGTGTTGTATTCTCAAAGAACTCGGACCCGTTCATGGCCAGGGTGCGCAGCAGGCAGCCACTTGTGGTCAGTGACAGCACAGTATTATTGCTGTACTTGCCTGCAGAGCAGATGAGATGGTGAGATGGGACGGGGTCGGGTCGGGTCGGGTGGGCTGCTGCAATACTTACTCTCCATGCGTATTATATAGCCCACGGTGTCGCCGAGCGACTCGCCACGCTCTTCGGCAATGCGCCCGGACACGCTGATGGCGGCAATGCGGCGCGGCTGGCTGACCACAATGCGCACCGGTTTATTCATGGCTGCCGCATCCTCGAGCAGATACTGCGGCAATTGGGTCGACTTGCCGGAGCCTGTGGCGCCGTTAATAATAAGTACCTGAAAACGAATTAAATGTGACAGGAGAGATGTGGCCATAGGCTCCTGATTGTCACGGGAAGTCTCACTTACCTGCGACATTTCAAGCAGTTGGAAAATGCGGTTGCGCTTTGTATATATGGGCAGATCCTTGCGTTCGGCAGTCAGCGTTGCATTAGTGCAGCGCGAAAGTGCCGGCACGCGCGGTATGCCCAGCAGACCTCCAGTTTGGACGAGCGACTCGTTGCGACGTTGCGACTGCATGGGCACTGTCCTGCGGCGGCCCAGCTCGTTTAGTGCCTTGTGAAGAACACGGCGGAACTGCAAGGTCACCGACAGCCTCACATTGTCGAGACACGCGTTCAAGCGATAGGTATTGCTGCGGCTGAGTGTTAGCACTCGGTCGCCGGCATCGTTACGGCTGCGCGTTTTTACGCCTTGCTGCCTAGCAAAATGGTGTATCTCTTTACGCTCCATATTGCTTAAGCCGAATATCTCTTGGCACAGCTCGTCTCCTTTTATAAAATCGAGCACAGTTTGTTGCAGACGATGTATCTGTTCAAATGTCAGCTTTTGTTGGTCAAGATTGTTAGTTTTGTCCGTATTTAATTTTTTTTTCTGTTTGGTTTTAGGTTTTGGTGTCGGTGCCGGATTTGACTCTATGACTTCTCCGATGTCAGTCTTTGATTTAGACTTGTTCCGGCGAGTTCGGCCGGTCTTCGGCTTTTTATTTGTCATGTTGCAAGCCTTGCCGTACTTATCCTATCACTCTTCGATGTTCCTGCCAAAAGAAAGGACAGACCTTATCTAGCATGCGAATGTTGCAATTTCTACTAGCGGCCAGAACTAAATGCTGTAGCAGTCAGCTTGTGAGCGACTGAAATCGATTACACTTAATCGATTATAGCTTTCGCTAATTTCGTGAATAAACTCAACAGAAAATAAAACTTCGCCGCATATTGAAACTTTTAAAGCTTTTCATGCGCCTAACAAAATGCAATTTAAATGACATTTTTATGAAATAAGACTATGAGCTTAATTTTCAAATAATTTTATATTTATTGTATGTATATACACAAATAAAAAAAATTTCCTATACTCTAAGTGCACAGTGTTAAGGCAGTTGAACGTTACTTCTTTACTATAGTTTTCGCTTTTTGCGGCTCTTCTTCGCTGTCCTCTTCACTGCTGTTTTCCTCTGAACCGAAATCAGATTCACCCTCCTCGTCTTCATCCTCATCCTCATCTTCGCCATAATCGTCGTCTTCTTCGGCGAGATTCAGCTGTTTGATCTTATCTAGCAGCTCCTCACGTGTATGCCTAACCCGTGTTGCCTTCTCTTGAGCCTCGCGCTCCTCCTCGTCGAGTGGCTCCTCAGTTTCCTGCTTGCGCCCCTTCTCCATGAAGCGTAGAAAGGCGCGTCGCTTGCGCTCTGAGAACGATTTGATTAATCTATCCATTTCGACCTGCAGCTGCTGCTCTTCCTGCGGCGTCGGCTGTGGCGCCTCAATTTCCACCTCGTCGGCGCTCTTAAGGCACTTGGCACACACATGATCCTTGACGGCGCAGTCCTTGCAGATGACATGGTATGCCTTGCGGACAGTCCGCTGTTGGCAGCGGGCGCACGTCTTGGCCTGCGTGAGGGGCTTATACTTCTTGTATTTGATCTTCCACTCGATGACCTCCTTGCAGCGCTGGCACACGGTCGACACATGCATTTTATTGAGGCGCATCTGCTGTGGCGTCTTGTCATGCAAATCGTTTTTAAATACATGACGATTTTTGTGTTTTTGTGCACGTGTGCGAGTCGCGTTGCCGCGCTGTGTGCTCATGTTGTTGTATCTGTAAATGCGGCACGGCAGAAAGTTAGTTTGCTCGAATTTGGATTTATTGTATGCAGTATTTACTCTTAGCTCAGGGTTTTTGAAGAAACAGCGTTTGTCTAGGCTTCGCTTATAAATTTTGTTAAATGTTTTGGTGCAGAAATTAAATAATCGATAACACGCAATTTACTCAATTTGGTAAATCCAGATGGTTGCCCAACATGTGCGCGCTAACGATTGCAAGCTGACTGCTACATCACGAGTCAGCATTAAGCACTGAATGTTGTTTGGTCAGATATATCGTATGGCACTCATATCGCTGCTAACGCTCACAAACTCTTCGCTGTGACACTTAAAAAGCTTTCCTTTCTTAAAAATAGCCGCGTAAGAATATACAAAAAGAGCTTTACCTAACTAAATGAATATTGATTATTATTGTAAATTAAATACTAATATTGTTATTATTCGTCTATTATTGCAGACAGTCAGCTAGGCAACGCGCCCATGCCGACGCAATGCGCGATCTCAAGCAGCGCTTGTTTGATCTTTTGCGATCCGGCGGCATATCTGTCGGCGAGAACAATAATAACAACAACAACAGCAACAATGGCAATGGCAATGGAAATGGCAATAACAATAAGAGCAATGGACCACAACAGCAGCAACAGCATCAGCAGTCGCAGCAGCAGCAGCAGCAGCTCTATTCCTCACATCATCCCGTGCCGAAGCCGAAGAAGCTGCATGAATATACTGCAGCCGACTGCAATGCAGCCTTCTTGCGTAAATATCACGACCTGAGCATCAGCAGAGCGAGGGAGCGAGAGCGCGAGTTGGAGCTGGAGCCGAACGGCACCTCGAATGTCATATACTTCAACGAGAATCTATCGATGACCAGCAAGTACAATATACGACAGTTTCCCCTGACGCGCTACCCCTCCTGTCCGCTGAGCAGCTTCGGGCTGTCGCCTCAGCGGGCGGAGGGCAGCGCAGGCAGCAGCCTGGCTGAGGACACGGAGAGCGACAGGTATAACTTCTGCTCGGACGGATCGGAGGATCAGAGCAGCAGTGCGCACACACTCAAGCTGCGCTGTCACAAGCTGCACATGGACACGGACGCGGAGGTGGATGCAGAGGGCGACGACGCAGACGACGCAGACATGGATGGCGATGATCTCGATGACGATCATGCCGAATCGCAGCTGGACTCGTTCTGCACGCTCTGCACCTCCACGTTCAGCTACAACAAGTGCTGCCGCTTCTGCGACAATTCGCTCTGCGGCTCCAAGTGCAACTCGGAGCGCGGCTCCCATGCGAGTCGGCTCAGCTGCAGCAATCGCAACAACAACAACAACTATGGCCTACTCGACAATGAGCTCGACTTTAGTGCGCAGCAGCTGCTGCATCAGCCGCATCCGCATCCACATCCTCATCCACATCATCATCAGCAGCGCTTTGGAGGCGCCACCAGGCTCCACCCGCCCAATCTGGCAGCAGCAAGTGCTATCAGGTAGGTTATACATCATACATACATTAACACATTTATATATGCCGAATATATAATACTCTAGCTTATGCTTACAAGTTTAACAGGTCAGCGAATGTTAGCATAACATTAGCCCTTAAGAACTGTTAAGTAACATTACGTAGCCAAAAAAGACTAAAAGGAGCAGAGGTTCACACGAACGAACCAGTGGCAATTGCATAGGGCAGTCTTCTAGTGTTGTAAAACTCGATACGAATTTAGAAATTCGTAATTCGAGCGAAGTCGACAGCGAGACAGCACTTGAAACGCATAAAAGAGAGAGAGAGAGAGAGAGAGAAAGAGAGAGAAATATGTAGCTCGATTGTCATACACCACCCCCTCTTTGGACTATAAAATCAAATGTAATTTAGTAATAAGTAAGAAGATTTTTACCTTTTCGAAGTTTTTGCAGCTTTTTGGATTCGAATATTGAGACTTGACTTGTATTGAGAATTTGATCTGTACCAACACAATATATATATTTTTTCTTTTTTACAAGTTTGGGAAGTATAGCTCATAGCTCGTAGCCTTACAAAAGCCTACTTGAGATAGAAAATATTTTTATTTTCTCATTTATCCTTTTCTCATCGGAGTGGGATGGTATTAAAAGAAGTGTATGATTCGGAATGTGTAGGTCAGTGTAATTCGCAGATGGCTGTCATGATAACCTTATAACAGATCCAAGACGATATATATACATATATCATATAAATTTAAAGCAACTTTCAATGACCATGCCGCTAAAGTCAATATGTTGGAATCAATTTCCGAGGTGCTCAATCATGAGTTTGATATAATAATCAATCAGCATCATCATCAAAGATAATGATAATTGGCCATAATGCAGTTGCTAATGAAGTGTTTTATGAAATAGTTTTCAATTGCAATTAACAATTAGCTAACTGATTGCATTTAAATAGAAAATAAAGATCAGCAAACCAATTATAAACCGAATTGAACTCAAATGAACTGCAGCGAGTCGAACTGGTCTCGTGAACGAATCGGAGCTAAGACTGAGTTCAGTTGCAAAAGACCTAATTCAGTTGATGAAAGGGATTTTGGAAGTGCATAGAAAATAGATTTGGTCATATGCATAAATGCTTATTGGTATTTATGTAAATGGAATATGTATCTTTAGCATGGCTAAGAGAAGAAGAAGAAACGCTGGTTCCGTTAGACAAGCAGCCAAACAATGGTAGCTAAACAGCTGCCCAGCTGCCTAGAAGCGCATGACGCGGCTCTGGCTATAAAAAGCATTCAAAAAAACATAAACTCGATTGAATAAAGTTAGCTGAACAAGTAAGAGTGCTTGAGTCGAACAGTGGTTGGTTGGCAGATACCCTGTATTAGCTCCCCTGGCAAGTGCATCTTATAATAATGAATATGACTAGGCTAATATCATGGAAATAAGAGAGAAGTCAAATAGATTTCACTAAAAGATCAAATTTGAAA